AATAAGTGAGAGAAGATTGTTTCATAGCACTTTTCAAGTCCTGTAAGCAGCAATCCTTACTTGGCAAGCACAGGGGAATATCATGCAAGGTGTGAAGTGACTCAGTCCAGACACACAGAAAGCTGCCTCCTGCACAGTCAGGTTAGTACATAGTCACTGTGCAAGTCAGTACCCCCAAGGAAGTTCCAAATTTTGGGGGAACCTGTTGCACAGCACCTGCAGTGATTGAATAAATATATCACTGACATTCTCAGAAGCAAAATACCAAATCTGCACTGTTGTACGGACACTAATTCCTCCACCAACAAGAATCCAACTGGAATGAAGAGCCAGTGGTTTGAGCAGAGGTCAGATACTCAAAAAAAACTGGGCAGGAGCAGCAGTTTGTCCCAAAGTACAGCAGTAATTCCTAGGTCCTGGGAGTTCATATATGAGCCACTGCCCAGTTATGCTGATGACTTCTCATCAGCAATCCTCAACTTAAATTCATGGATAACCAAAAGACATGATGATATCAACAAGACAAACATTAAATAAGGACTTTTACTTTCTGTTAGTAGCGTTTGGTGATGGTTCAACTGGAAATGTTGAAGTAGATGCACTGATTGCCGCATGGTAAAAGATTTGTCAGTTTGAATTCTATCTTTGTAGTGTTCTAGTGCAAACCACTCTGTATCATTTTCGCTATTCTCCCCACTCACATTTAACTTGGTAATCAAATGCATAAACTCGTTGAAAGGCCTGGGACTTGAAGTGATTTTGCAGTGAGAATTGAAAAATTTGTTCCAAGGTATGAAGAAGAGAGGAAAAATATATTTGAAAACAAATGCTTGCTGTAGTCATATGTTTGGTGAAATATTCTCTTTCTTCAACATACTATGGCCTGTTAAGATGCTTAAATTACCATGGCTTGAATTCTGCCTGCACTGAAAGATTACAGAGCAGGCCTACAGACCTCAATATTAGCTTTCAGATAACTTCAGGTTATGTGGAGTAGTATGTAGTTATTTCTTCGCTTAAAAATCAGATGTCAGTTTTATACAACAGAAAAGCACAATCAGTTATTTAACATTTGAGTGTCAAGGGCTGTCAAGGTGAGATTTTAGGATGATTATTATTTTAACGGACTAGGAAAATATTCATGGTAATCACAGCATATCTCACTAGTGTTGAACAGAACAATTTACAGCAAGATAAAAGTGCTCATAGGGGTCAGCACACTGGTATGATATTTTCTCCTTCTACAATAAAAATTGGCCCAGTATATCTGAATTTATTTTATACTTAACTAAGTTAAGTGGTACAAGAGTACCATTCAGACATTTAGTTTTAAATTTTGTTTGCCAAGTCACCACATTTGCAGATTATTAATATCAAATTAATGTTATGCTGTTAGCTAAAGCACAGTCAAACATATCTTAAGCAATTATGTGAAAAGCTACCTTTAACAACATTTTATATGGACCTCTGTAAAGATACATGCATTGAGTTTTATGATTTTCTATTAAAAATTAAACTCCATTAAAAATTAACTTTATACAGAAGTTAAAGCAAAGCATTGATTGTTTGAGCCCACACAGTAAGAGAATGCCAAACTGGGATTAAAAACTAACCAAAAATATTTCTGCAATCCAAAAATTCATGATGACACCAGGTTAATCTTTGAAAGATCAAACCAACACTGCCAAGTAACTACAGGAAAGGCCAGTAAGAGCAAACTGAATGGGTTAGAGTCCTAGACTGTCCGTCCTATTTGATTTCTTACTTATATAGACATTTTTATTCCAGTCTACTATTTATTCACTGCCTATCCTGCTATTGCAATCTGTTTAGCTATTTAGAAGAGATTTTAAAAAATAAGTTACAGGTGATTACTGCAATGTTCTCACCACTGTTTTCACTCAATACTAGATTCTAATGTCGAAGAACATATATAAATTCCTGCTGGGTACATAGTTGTCTAAGAACAGCACTTGCTTTCAGTCACTGCATAGCAAAGATCTAACTCTTAGAAAAGACTGCAGTTTAATCAAACTGCAGACATACAGTTTTAAAGAAAAGGAGTTTTCATTCAGGTTTGCATTTCTGGTTGAAATCTCCCCATTAGAAAACAACAACTAGACAGAAGATTCAAAACCTCTTAAGCTTTCTATTGTTTGAACAATAACACAGTGTTAATTCATGAATTGACAGGGCATGAGTGTGCAGCATTGAGAAAAAATGTGCTATCACTTTAAATTTTAAAAAGTCTTGTATCTCCTGTATACAGGCCAAAAGAATCTACTTTCAATTTTAGTTAGCTGTCCAGTTACATTCTCTCTGTGCTAGTTGGCTTTTATTTTGTTATTGGGAACACTTTTTCTGTTATTAAAAATAAAAAATGAGTGCCATCATGTAAGTATTCCAAGTTCCCACACTTTACAGTCATAACCTTTAAAACAGGCACAAGCGATATGACATCAGTGTGATCTGACACCCGCTGAACAGCTCCCCAAAGTGCATCGACGCCACTGCCAGGATAACTGTTCTTTAACACTGTGTTGCAAAACAGAAGGCAGGAGGGGAGAAGGACTACGAAGGTGTATGTAAAAGCAGCAAGGGATTATGGTATGAATACATTTGAAAAAGCTGCAAAATTATTTCCTGATAATAACTTTGATCTGATATGCACTCTTATTCTGAAGCAACTCTTGATCATTTCCTGCTGTGGTATATCATATCACACACTGAGAAACTGCAAATTGAAGATAAAATGGTGCTGTGAAAACCACCCTTTAGATACCAGTGTAGCAAATGCCATGCACACTTGCTTTTGGCTGTGTAGACAAAATCTGCAATGCTCAGTGGTAGCACTTGTGCACTGATGTTCCCATATACAGAAAACCTGCTCGATTTAAATCTGCTAAACTACACAGACTCTAAGTCTGTAAGGGATGTGCCAGCATAAGAGGTGATGCTGATGGAGAAAGGGTTAGAGCAGTCTGCTCTGCTTTCTTGATTAAACTTCATCAAGAGACCTGCAATATTCATTACCTGTGTAATAGTATTTTTTTTATATTGAACTGAATGCCAATGAAATGATATTGTTCCAATTATTAAGTAACTTAACAGTACCTAGGGAACTTTTTTGCTGTGTAGTGGATCAAGTTCTTCATTTACACTGATGACATCTGGTTTAGCTACAGTCACAAATTATGGTCAAAATAACTGATTCAGGACTGGTTTCCTAATGAGTTTTGTCCAAGACACTTAAAAATCCTTTTTCATAAACTCAGATAGATTTCAAAACCTGTCTCAATGTATAGCATAGAGGAGATGTGGCAGTGCAAACCTAGTAATTAGGGTAGGGTGAGTTTCCTTATTGAGTAGTAAAATCAAAAGAGCCACATTTTAGAACTTAGTAGCAGCGGTGAAATTCCCTTCATAACACTCTTTTGTGTTTTTTTTCCTCTTCAAAAAGTATTCAGCATGCACTTTTGGGTAACTATTTATGCAAAGGACTTGGCCACATGGGCATTATTTGCTCTCCCTCTCTTAGAGCTGTTCTGTGTAAGCAGGTCATGAAAGTCCTAAATCCCATTCCATTTGCAGTACATGACAGAACAACTGCAAGCCTGGAGGAAGGACCACTTGTGCCAGGCTCTGTGACAGACCAACCTCAGAGTCACTTAAGGATACCAAAGCCTTCTGAGGACACCAGCAAAAAGATGGTCCGGGTCCTTTCTTCCTTTATAGGAAACATCAAATTCAGAGAAAGCAGCCAGCATACCAGGAAAGTCAGGATTCTGTTGGGTGCAATTCTGTCCTGTATACAAATACAGGCCAGCAAGCTGAGTAAAGAATTAAGATGCTAGGAAAGACAAGGACAATTGGAGAATCCTACTAGGCCCCAGGAAATATCCATGTAAAGTATCTCAGATTAGAAGTATCACGTTTGAATCATATTTGAATGAACCTCACTGAGGCAAATGTTAGGGAACTGCACTCACAGGGGAGCTTTTACTATGAATCTTTCCCCTAATATTGTCAGGGGCATACAAGTTGACATATTCACCTACACCAACATGAAAACCTTTCTCAACAATACCAAAAAATGTGAACTGTAATGATGAAGAGTCAGATTTCTTACACTGTTCACAGGGAGAAGCAGGTGAAGGGAAAAAGAAAGGAAAAGAAAGAAAAATAGCTACCAAAAGATAAAAAAACCTCTGTTTGACATGGATGGCAGTGTTTCCATGAATATCAAGGCCTTTGAACTGTCCCTAAATGCACTGTAATTGGATGAACTTTGAACTGTCCCTAAATGCTTTGTAATTGCATGAACACAATGTGGTAAAACACAGTTACGAGGGTATGCATGGGGTGACTGGAAGTAAATGGTTTAAACCTAAATGGTTTTGCAGACTGCTTCCAGTTCTATGAAATATACAACCTCTACGAAGGAAAACAAACTAACAAACAGCTCAGTATAACATAGTGACTGTAATTTGAGAAGCACTTTTTTAAAAAATGTATTTCTAGGCAATAAAAATAGACTGACCTCCCAAAGACGTAAGGCTGACCTTTACACTGGGGTGCAGTTAATGACTCCGGTGGTGAGAGGCCTGGAGAAACTGTTCCAGGTGTTCTGCAATATAAAGCAATGGTAATGCTTTATACAGTATGCTGCAAAGTAAGGGATGGGGGCATGTTTTGGTGTTGTCTTTTTTTTTTAGAAAAACCACGCTACCTCTTGGTCAAAGACAGATCCACGGAGTTTGTAGTCTTGTCCACACACTATATATAGCACTTAAACCCTGGCTGACATCATGTTTTTCCCGCGGCGCAGCCTATCAGCACGGAGCCGGCCGTGCGGCGCGGTGTGCCGGCCCTGGGGCGGCCCGGCGGGAGCGCTGAGAGCCCGGCGGTCACGGCGAGGAGCGGCTGAGCCCGGAGGCGTCAAGCAGGACACCCCAGGCAGCATTTAGAAACACCGCGCCCTCAGTGGAGCGCCCGGTGAGTCACACAGAGCTCCGGCTCCAGGTGCCCGGGCCCCTGTGGGCATCTCTCGTGTCTGCGCGCCCCAGCCGGGTGTAAAGGCGCTGGAGGGGCGGTGGCTGTACAGGCTGGGACAGGACACAGGTACAGCCGTGCCGCGCTGCCCGGGAGCCCCGCGGTGCTCCAGGGCACGGGCCCGCGGAGAGCTCAGCCCGCTCGCTGCCGCAACAAGGCGGGGCAGGAGCGTCGCCCCTGAGGGAATCCTGGGGTACCCCCGGGGTACCCTCTGGACTCAGGGCGCGCTCCCCGCGTCGGGCTGGCGGGGCGGGGCCGAGAATGGAGGGGCGGGGCCGGCCCGGGGGGGCGGGGCTGAGGACGGAAGAGCGGGGCCGAACTGGGATGGGCCGAGGGCGGAGGGGCGGGGTTGGGCCCGCCCGGGGGGCGGGGCGAACAGGGGGCGGGGCGGGGCGGGGCCCGTCTTGGGGCGAGGCGGAAGGCGGGACAGCCCGGCCCGGCTCGGCCGTCCCGCAGCGCCGCCGGGGCGGGCCTTGGGCTCTCGCGGGAGCTGTGCGGGCGCCGCCCGTCTGCGAGCGCGGCGGCTGCGGAACCAATAAAGTTTGTTTCAAAAAAAGGCAAGAAAAGGGCAGGAAAGGAGCCGTGTCGCCGCGGCTGTGAGCAAGTGCGTCACTGACCGCCTGGCCAGCCCGGGGCGGCCGCAGCGGGCGAGGGCGGACGGGCAGCTCCAGCCCCGGCTCCGGCTCCTCTCGGCCTCGGCAGCCGTCGCCCTCCGCGGGGAGCGGCGCCGCCGCCGCTGTGCGGGCCCGCTCGTGAGTATGGCGGGGCGGCTGCGGCGGACAGCGCTCCCCGCGCAGGGCGGCGGGGCGGCCGTGCCGGGCCTGGCGGGGTCGCCGGCGGTGCCGGGGCGGAGAGTGACAGGTGTCAGGCTCCCCCTCCGCGGGGACACCCCCGCCGCTCTGGCTGCGGGCCGGGCCGTGCTGTGGGACAGGAGCTGCTCCGGGGTGCTGCCGGTCCGGGGCCGAGGTAGCGCTGGGCGCCGGCTGACAGCTCGCCCCGCGCCCGGCTGCCCTCCGCCCTGCCCGCAGCGCCGGTGTCCGCAGCGCCCGTGTCCGCGCTCCCCCGGCGCCGGGGAACATGTAAGCGCGGCCGGCGGCGTGAGGCGCTCCCGAGCGGCCGCTTCTTGCGGGGGGTCGCCGCTGACCTGCGGGGTTTTGTGTGTGTTCCCTCACGGCAGGGCTCGCCTCCCCCTCCCCGCAGTGAGTGTCCCGGCGCGGGGGCAGCGCCGGACGGGCGACCGCGGCCATGCCGGGCGGTAAGGAGACACGGCTACTGCACCTCAGCGAGATGGAGAAGCTGGACAAGACCCTTTTCAGGCTGGAGCAGGGTAGGTCGGGGCGGCGGGGCAGGGTGAGAGGGAAATGGCCAGGACCTCGGCACCGTCTTTGGACGGCAGTGGAAACGGAGTTCAGCCTGTTTTGGTGGGGGTTTTGGGGTGTGGGGGTTTTGTTGTTGTTGGTTTGGGTTTGGCTGTGGTTTTGTTGGTTTGGTTTGGTTTTACTTTTTCTGTTGTTTTAATGTGAAACAATTTCTGACGCGCTTGCTTCCACTGCAGAGCTCTATGGGCTCCAGACACGGCTCGGGCTGACTCATAAAACTCTTGAGAAATGAAGAGCAGATTGGCTTGGAGCCGTCAGTCTTAATGGGAGTGAAGTACAAAGCGTTTTTTGGACGGGCTCTGTCCCTCTCCTTTTATAGCCTGTACTTAAGGGACCCGAAGAAGTCTCATAAGTCAAGATCTCCAGTGTTTATCTGCAATGTCTTATGCAGCATCCCATGTTTTAATATTATAATTCTGAAATCTGTCAGTAATACTAACATTTTGCGAAGTCTGAAAGTTTGAGGTATTATTTCAGAATATAAGCTCTTTAGCTCCTCCTAAATCTCACTGTCAGATTTCTTAGCACTGCTGAATACTTTTAAGAACTTGACATTAGTTCTCCTTGAAGTGTTCCTAAGTCTACTTGGAAAACAAAAACAAAACACCAAAACAAATAAACAACCCCCCCAACTGGTTGACTGTTATGGCAGTCAGCAAATTCAGACTATAAAACTAAAATCACTGTCTTTAAAAAAATATCTTTAATGATGAAACAATTTTTATTATGAATTTTTATGGGTTTTAGTACTGTGTGTTACTGATCTAGTAACCTAATATCAAAGTGGTTTAGTAAAGGAGCAAGATTTTGGTTCTTGAGAATAAAAATTCTCTTCAACTATATTGATTTCAAAATTTTCTTACAGTCTAATATAAGTAAATGTCAGTACTGAAGAAGTGCAGAGTTGACCCTAACCTCCATTTTTAACTCTTCCATCCAGTTGTGTAGATTTTCTTGAGTGACACAGAGGTGCAGGACTGTCAGACATTCAGAGTGCCTTTGCCGGTAGAAGTCTCCAAGAGGGCATAGCTAATTTTGAGCATAGCATTCCTGATGTCAGTATTACTGTTACAGGAAATAAGATATCAATGGCATATATCCCTGTCCTCTAATTTTAGTAATCCCTGTAACAAAATGTCAGGTCAGTACTGAAGAGAGTATACTTAACATTCCGAAAGTGATTTTTTTTTAAATTTTTTTTTTTTTTGCATTCAAATAAGCTTTATTTTACCTGCAAGACATTCAGATCTAAAAACCATTGCTCTGCATGGTGAGTTTTGGTGCAGTGGTGACTGTTTGTAAGAGGAATGCCAAACGTGGTCGGACATATTTGAATGTGTTCAGACAGTGAATTCTGGTATTAGAGTCACCATGATTCTGCTTAATAAGCAAGTGGGGTTTTTTTTGACTTACGATACTGGAACTTGACATCCAGATATTTTATGCTTTGATTCATTCTCTGTGTATTAATAACTTTCTCTTTTTTAAAAAACACTCAGGTTTCTTTTACTCCCTATTTTGTAGACTGCTAGAGCTAGTAGGTGTTTTACTACTGTTACCTATGTGACTGGCTTGTAATTTAGAAAAGTCACTGTGCAAGAATTTATATCCATTTCATTCACTTGAAAGAACCCTGTAATTAGCCATGCTAATGGTGGTGCTAATTACGTGGTGACCCTCATACCCGCAACTGGAAGCATATTCTGAAACCTCTTGACTAAACTGAATTTTTTTTATATCCAACTCAACAGACTACATGTGGTTTTAGGTCCTAATTTTTTAACTCAATTTTTTCTCATTATCAAGGGGGTCTTCAGCCTAAACTTAAGGCTCTTTCTGTGTGTGCAGCATGTATACAAAACTCCCTCTGGGTTGTTGAGCTCTCTGAAAGTTTAAAAATTTGTATATTGTAGATTACACACAAGTACATATAATTTTACATTATAAATCATTTTATGTATAAAAGCATAAGGAGTTTAGCACTGTTTAGTGAACCCTCAGTGAATAATGAAGGGATTTGAAATATTTTCTGCTTTGAAATGTGTTCCTAATTTTTTTTCAGGCGTTTTCATGAGTCAGCCTGTGATTTGGTAAACCTACGTACTTAAAGACCATATAAAGACTGCATAGAATTTCATGCAGTCTGATGATCACTGTGTCTTCCTGTATTTCTTTTTTAAGACTTTTATATAGCAAAGAGAAACAAATAGGAAAGGAGATGAATAATGTCATATAAGTAAAGGAAAAAGGACTATATGTAAAGTATGCAAAGAGCAATGTTAGGAAGGTAGGGAGAGATGATGCAGTTTTGGGTGCCACAATATAAGAAAGATCTAAAGCTATTATAGAACATCCAGAGAAGAGTGATGGTGAAGGGCCTGGAGGAGAAGCCGTGTGAGGAGCAGCTGAGGTCACTTGGTCTGTTCAGCCTGGAGAAGCGGAGACTGAGGGGAAACCTCACTGCAGTCTTCAGCTTCTTCATGAGAATAGGAGGGGCAGGCACTGATCTCTTCTCTGTGGTGACCAGTGACAAGACCTGAGGGAATGGCCTGAAGTTGCCTCAGGGAAGGTTTAGGTCGGATATTAAGAAAAGGTTCTTCACCCAGAGGGTGGTTGGTCACTGGAACAGGGAAGTGGTCACAGCACCAAACCTGAGTTTAGGAGGTGTTTGGACAATTCTCTCAGGCATGTTGTGCTTCCTGGGGCTGTCCTGTGCCAGGAATTGGACTTCAGTGATTCTTGTGAGTCCCTTCCAGCTCCGGATATTCTATGAGATTTTGCTGTAGAAATATATCATTCTGCTGAAATTCTTGTCAGATATGTTGGTGCTTTCTTATTAACATGATATCAAAGTAGGAGTTATAATAACAGACTAGAAATACCTACTCGTCCTGATAGTGATTTTCTTTTTTTTTTCTTGAGGTTTTGAACTGCAGTTCCGACTGGGCCCAACTCTTCAAGGCAAGCCCGTTACTGTGTACACAAATTATCCAGCTTCTGGAGAAGGGTTTGATCGCCACAAGTTCAGGACATTATCATGGCACAATCCTGCAGGAAAGGAAGATGACTCTGACAAATACTGCAAGCTGGATCTCCAAATTTCTGGGTCATACCAGTACTATTTTAGTCTTGGGTGAGTGAAATTCTTATATTTACAGCCAAATGCAGTCTGCTTCTACACTTTAACTTGAAAAACTATACAGTTTTTCCATGTGTTTTTCAAATTGCAACCATTGGGCCAATCCAAATCTACTAATGAAAGACTGACTCTGGTGGTTTTTTGAAACCTTCTGATACAGAGATGTTCTGAAGAATATACAAAACCAAGTTAATTTTCTGTGAATGCTGGAGAAGCAATCTATTTTTACAAGTTTTCAAATTCATCAGCATTATGAGCATATGAATGATTAATTTGTACTTTCTTCATTGACTCTGAGGTTTGTTTTCTACCTTTCTAGCACAGAAGTTCTGGCATTCTTTACTTGCATCCTTTATGTCCTCCTTTGTTTCAGTGGGACAACTGAAGAAGAGAATGCCAGTAGCTGTAATAATTGTAGTCTGGTATTTGGAGTTTCTGGAAGATGGGTGGTTAAATTCTTCCAGGCTTAGAAAGACATTTACCTGAGGATGGTGCTCGAAATGGAGATCTTTGTATAATAGATGGGCAGTCAGGTTTTCTGTGTTTCTGTCCATATGCCAAAGGGAGGAACCTGTACTCTGTCTTAGCAAATAATAAAGGTATCTCACTTTTGCAGAGAGTTTAAAGCTCTGTATTCCAATTGCATTCTTTTAATTCCAGTAGAGAGATGATGCCTAAGAGATGAACATTTCAATGTCTCATGTTTTCTTCAGGTGCCCTGCAGTCCTGTTGCTCCTCTCCCCCCAACCCCTGTACTGGGCTACTGTGTTTTTTAAATAGCTGTACTGCTTGGATTCTCTTTGTGAAACTGGCCATGGCTATTAACTGTACCAATGAAAATTAATTTTTCCTAGAAATGAAAAAAGCGGTGGAGGTTACATAGTTGTGGATCCTATTTTGCATGTTGGAGCTGATAATCATGTACTACCTTTGGATTGTGTTACGCTCCAGACATTCCTTGCTAAGTGTCTGGGACCATTTCATGAATGGGAAGATAGACTTAAAGTTGCAAAAGAAACAGGTAATGCCAATACACCTATTGAAGGATATAAGTGTTTGTCTTATGATCAAAACCCAAAGTTACACTGAAGAGCTTCAGTGTGAGCAGCTCATTTATTCTTTTTTAGATTAAATGTTCTCTACTACATTCAATTAACTGATTAAGTCACTGAAATGATTAAAATATTGCCAGAGGTGCAAAAATTCAGGGATTTCCTAATATGGGAAACCACTTCTGTTTTATTGTTTTGATTTCAGATAAACTTGGAAGTTTGTAGAATTGTCAGGGTGATTTTTAAAGCTTGTGTTATGCAGAATTTCAAGGGGAAGATTCAGATTAATTTATACTGGTTATCCCAAAAACCAGCTCTAAGTCTGTGCTATAACTACAGCTTATTAAGCTTCTTCCAATTAACTTTGTTTTTTTTCCTCGTTGAATAAGTGGTTTTTTGTTACATAGGTTACAACATGATTCATTTTACGCCACTGCAGAAGCTTGGACTGTCTAGATCATGTTATTCACTGGCTGACCAGTTAGAAGTAAATCCTGAATTTTCAACCCATAATAAAAAGTGCACTTGGAGTGATATAGGAGCTCTTGTGGAGAAACTGAAGAATGAATGGAATATGCTTTGCATCACAGATGTAGTCTACAATCACACTGGTACGATTTTTGTGTGCTAATAACCGGCTTATTTCTATAATTATATTTTATTATTTCCCTTAACTT